CCCCAAAACCCCAAAACCCCAAAACCCCATGACTCAAATATTGTATGTGAATTGAAAATTTAGATAAATGATGAAATTAAAGCATATTAGAAATATCATGTTTCGAGTAACTCATTTAATTAGCTATCTGGCAGTCTACCATAGCTTTATCTATCTGGAGAAGGGTCACTCCATGCTCCTGTAGGAAAATGCCTAGTAATAAACTTTATCTGATAATTTTTGTCATTAGGTAGAGGTGTGTTCCTATCAAGTGAAAAGCATCTTTGATACTCTTGTCTTCCTTCGAGGCAGTCATCTTTATAAAGCCATTCATGGAATACAATATATGATTTGCTGTCCAAATATCCTTCTTTTAATGCTTTATTGTATGAGATTGTAAGTCTAATCGGTCCAGTATTATAAAAGGCAATCAAGAAGGAACGATTAAGGCATTCTGATTAAAATACCTTCTTCTTGTTTAGTTTCCTATCTAGGATATCCAAAAGCATATTGTGAAGAATGTAATTATTAGGAGCTGAGGCAATCATTGCATTTTCTATATTGTAGCTTCCCCCTGCATATGGATGGGCAAAGAAAAAGAAGTCCAGATTGTTAAGCAAAGGATCATATTAAAACACGACATTATCTCCGTCTAAATAAACACCTCCAAATCTGTGTACAATTACTAATCTAGCGAGATCTGATGCCTCAGCAAACCGCTTGGCAGCAATATATTCTTGGACGATGTCAATTGCTTGATTAGATAGAATGTCATCTCCACGAAGCTCATCTATTTCTCTAATTGTGATACCTATTTTCTAAGCGTATTATCTTGTTTTTGTGAGCTTGGCTTCACCATTAACCCAGAGATTGTAGGAGAATCCGTGCTAATTCATAGTAGCAACAGTAGTCTCAATATCGCTCATGCCACCAGCATAATCCAATAATTCTTTTTCCTTAAGTGGATTTGTAAACCAGACATACTATATCACTTTAGGAATTTTGATTTCATTGAGATCTTTAGCTCTAAGAAAGGCATCTTTTTGGTAACTCCAATCAGTATTCCTAACATAATCGTCGTCAACTCCATTCTCCTCTAGGAACTAGTTCAAGAATAAGCTACTAAGCATTGTGCTTCCACCTCGCAGGCAAATGTTGTTGTAATTCAAGCTGTGAAGTAAATTTTCATAATCTAGAAAATCACCAGATATGGACCTAATCTAAGGATTATTAATCTTATTTTCATGTTGCAAACTTGTCTTATTTTTTATGGCTAAGCCCGCTAATACAATATAGATAGCTAATAAATCTAACATTTTTATTTAATATAGCTTAATCTTATTATATAAGTTAATTATAGCATTAAATAATATCCTAATTCTAACTCTTAATTATTATTCAGGGGTTTTGGGGTTTTGGGGTTTTGGGGTTTTGGGG